GGGGGGGGTTATGGGCTGAAAAAAACCGAAAGCTGTTTCTACTAATGAGTTAACTTGTTCTAATTTCTAATCTACCTGACCAGATTTTTTCCACGACCACGCCTTAAACGCTAAGATATTAAGCTAGGAAGGAACTAAATTATCTAAATATGACAATTGGCGAGTAGCGTATTTGTTCTTTGGCATTTCTAATTGGTAACTACTTGCACCTGATACTACTTCCTTTTTTCAGTCGTCTTACGTCCCCTTGATTGAATGAATAACAACCTCTTCGTTGAGGATTTTTACGCTATCTACCTGTTTGTGTAACTTAATAATTTGATATGCTAAGTAAATAAGTCTTATTCTTCTGATTAACGCAGCAATCAACGTATTTTTATAAGCTTTACAGTTGAGATAAGTTATTTCTATTTCTTGTCTCTTCGACATCTATGAAGGCCACATGGTAGATCAGATTCAACTCATAGTCTGGCACTCATCACCTAATGCCCTGCTGGCGTAACATTCATCATACTAGTCTAATGAATTTTAGCTACTAATTCACGGTTTATCTCCACAGACCAAGTGAACACCATAAACTATTATACCTAGTCAATAGAGGCATGGAATACTTGGTTTGTCTTCAAAGCTTTGGGGTGTCATACTCTTGTCTCAGGATAATTAGGTTTCATTAGTAGTTAGATAACTAATTACTTTTATCCATACTGGTATCACTTTCTAGAATCTTCTATCATCGCCGTCATTTTATCGTTGGTCATGTACACTTGACCACGTATTAATCACCAACAGAATGCTAAAACAATAAAAAAATTTAGCTTCAATTAAATTTGAAACCATCTTGAAGAAAAGAGAGAGGGTAAGGGAAAAATGAATTGCAGGGAGGATTATTTTCTCGTCTTGAGCGAAGCAGTTTTTATGAATACCTGCCCAGAAAGAGAAAAAACGCAAGTCACGCCCAAATTTGAAGCCTTAAAAGTAAACAAAACCATTTGAAAAGTAAATTCAGCATTTTAATGAATCTTCCCCCTTCGTCCCATTATAGGCCATTCTGGAGGACCATTGTTCGCGCATATGGGACACTTCTGCGGATCGAACGCCGACAAGCAGTAGTGGAAGTGGCGGTAATGGCGCTCATCTTCAACAAGTCAGTTCTGACGCTCTCAGAGGGAAAGCTCCCACTTCTCTAACGTCCCAAGGTCGAGATCCAGTTTCCTGTAGACATGTTCCTTCATTAGAAACCCAAACTCAGGAGGAGAACGAGATTGAGGACGATGCCATTCAACCACCCCTTCTACAAGAATCCTTATCTCCACTCCTTACCTCAAATACTACAAATTCTTACAGCCAATTCGATTTTCATCAACAGGTTGGCGAGGGCAAACTTGCTGCAGAACTTCGGAATCAAAATCGGTAAAATTGTCCTTTCCGCACTCTTGAGGGGGTGGGTCATTTGTTGACCCAAGAGGGAACAATTTAGTTTAATTCATGAGAAAAACGAATTTAGAAAGAGATGTAAAGAAACTTTTAATTGACCGGAGTATTTGTGAATCTCAGTTAATGCCCTATTTTAGAGCTTGGATGAATGACCAAGTGCAAATATTGGGTGGGCAACTAAGTCATTGCCGTTTTTGTTGACAGATTCACTCTATACTTTCTTTTGTTTTGTTAACGTGGCCAGAGCATCTTACCTATATTTTTTTCTTACTGTATGGGCTTCTAGGTTAATTAGTAAAAAAATTTTTTGTTTAGTTCTTTAGTTTTATTTTTATCCCAATTTAAAAATGAAAGAACAGGTCGTGCACTTCCGACACATTTTATTGTATTACTTCCGAAAAGGCAAGAACGCATCGCAAGCACAAAAGAAGTTATGTGCCGTATATGGAGATGAAGCCTTAAAAGAAAGGCAGTGTCGAAATTGGTTTGAAAGATTTCGTTGCGGTGATTTTTCACTGAAAAATTCACAACGATCTGGCCGCCCAGTCGAAGTGGATGAAACCCATATCGAGGCCATTATCGATCCAAATCGTCACAGCACAACACGAGATATTGCAGGGAAGCTCAATGTGTCGCATACATGCATTGAAAACAAATTAAAAACTCTTGGTTATGTCAAGAAACTTGATTTATGGATCCCTCACCAGTTAAAGGAAATTCATTTGACGCAACGGATTAGCATCTGTGATTCGCCGCTACTGAAACGCAATGAGAATGATCCATTTCTGAAGAACCTAGTTACTGGCGACGAAAAGTGGATAGTTTATAACAATGTTACTCGCAAGAGATCATGGGTGAAGCGAGATCAACCAGCCCAAACAGTATCAAAAGCAGAGATTCACCAAAAAAAGATTATGCTGTCAATCTGGTGAGATCACAAAGGAATTTTGTATTTTGAACTCATGCCGCAGAACCAAACGATAAATTCAAATGTGTATGTTGAAGAACTCGAAAAACTGAAAGAAGGATGCAATCGAAGATAAGCGGCCGGCATTATCAAATCGGCGGAAGGGTGTTGTTTTCCATCATGATAACGCAAGGCCCCACACATCTTTGGTTACTCGACAAAAATTATTGGAACTGGGTTGGGATGTTTTGTCACTCACACCCACCATATAGCCCTGACCTTGCGCCTTCGGATTAGCATTTGTTTCGTTCCATGCAAAACTCTTTAAATGGTAAAATTTTTAACAACGCGGATGATGTCGGATCACACCTAATTCAGTTTTTTAATAGCAAAGACCAGACATTTTACGAACGGGGAATTTTACTCTGTCAGAACGATGGAAAAAGGTCATCGACAAGAACGGCCAATATCTAATTGAATAAAGTTATATTTTTAAACAAAAATTCCGAATTTGCCTTCTTATTTGAAATCGGCAACGACTTAGTTGCCAACCTAATAAATAGTTTTGAGGTCTTATTTATTCTACCGATGAGACAATACCTTACGCACCTGTCCCAGAAGTCAGCTTGCACATTTCTTTGTGAGTGTAATGGCCAATTTCGTTCCTTAAATCTGGCTTCTAAGGGTGTTGGCAGAATTTCGTAGAAACTTCGCATGTCGCTACCTCTCAAACCACGGCGAGAGTCCCTCTCTCTTGTAAATTATTATAAAGGAGAGCCAAATTGTCAAATTGTCATCCCTTGTTCATAGTAGATTAAGACCGGAACTGTTCTTCTACAGAATCGCATATGAACTCACTTTTTAATGTTCCGAATGTGAGCTAATTGACGAATTCGACCCTTGATCTCGAAGCTAAAACACATTATGCCTCCTCTAAGTTATGAACAAAATGTCCCACCCCCTCCCCCCCCCCCCCCCAATTTGACTTTCTCCTGCTGTTAATACAGCGACATCGGTGAATAATTAGGTATGTTTTACTAGCCGCGTTTACATTCCTACTTCTTGCTCTTTGTGTCGGCAATGCCGTTTTACTTCCGATGTTCCTCCTGCTCTCTCCCCCCCCTTTTCTTTCTCTCTTTTTCTCGCGAAAAAATTAAAGGGAAGAAGACTAGAGAGAGAGAGAGAAAGTGAAAGAGCGCGCCAAAGTCTGGGGAGGGGTTGGAGTAGTTGTCTTTCATAGAGGAAGAGGAGGTGGAGGAGGCAGAGGAAGAAGAAGTTGACTTTTTGAGCGCATTTGTAATTCCGTAGTCGGAGAAATGTTTTCTCTCCTGTCTGAAATTAACAGATTAAGCCTTTGAAGGCATTAGTCAATGGAGATTTTAAAAAAAATTCCAAGTCTTTTCATTCCTTCAAGCACCAAGGAGTGACTAGATAAACAAATGAACTGTCTTCCTTGTGATTATTTGGATTTTTATTAAGGAAGATGGAAGGAGTAACCCTAAGATCGCAGATTACTTTGATCTTCTCCTTTTTTTTATTTAAAGTGTTTAGTTTGCAGTCGGAAATTCGTCTAAGTTAGTATTTATCTGACTCTTGTTACAAAGTTGCATGTTGCACTAGACAACCACGATTCTACTGATAGGTGCCTTGAAAATTTTCTTAACTCTAGACCTTCTCTGTCTCATTTTAGGTGTACATCATCTCCAGTTGCATCATCATCAAATTCGGGTGGTGGATTGGTCATCGGCTACTACCTCTGCGACGACCCGGTTCCTTATCGAAGTCAATGGCCGTCCAATGTCATCACTCTTGGCCAATTCAAACATTTGGTTCCGAAGAAAGGCCTCTTCCGGTGAGGCATTGCCCTTAATATTTCACCAATTTCATTTAATATGGAGGCTTCTCATTTAACCGTCTCAGTCGCATTTTACTTGAAGTTCAAAAATGCACATGGTGTGGAACACTCGCGATACTTAGTTTTTTTTGGAGAGTGGTTCCCTTATTTGTGCCTGAGGCGTGGGACCAACTTTACTATAACTTGTCATCTCGTTCTAATGCGAAGCTCAAATAGAGTAGAATTGCTCTGAGCACCAACTAATGTTTCTAATATGTGTAAATATCCACTTTTCAATATCTTTTGATAGTGAATAAAGATATTATTTAAATGTATACCTAGTTAGATAAATTGTCCTCATCGTAAAAGTTTTATGCTTTATTGAATGTTCTTTTTTTCCCATTAACATTTTAATCAAATATCCATTTATTTCCTCAGATGTGTTTGACAAATTCTCTTTATTTTTCCTTCTTAAAATATTGAAGCTTATCCCATTTTTTTTTATTAGCCCGATTTCACAATCCTTTTCCCCTACTTGCTTCTTGATTGACGTTCGTCATCACAATAAGAAAAGTTCAAATCAAGATATCTTTTCAGTTCTGCCCTCTTCCCTCTTCTTCTCCTGCTTTTTTTTTCAATTGTTTGATTTTTACCCATCATCTTTTGTTCTTACAACAGGATTTGGAGTGGTCTTATTCCTCTTCACCAACTTCTTCTTTTGTTGATAAAGTCATTTCCTACTCAATGAAATAAGAGTTTCTGAAACAAGTAAAAAATACAAGCAATAACAACACTGCAGTGTCCTTTTTTAAAAGAAAATGAACTAAAGGAACATCCAGTCTAGTTCTAATTGGTTAAGTCCTCTCTTTTTCCTCGCTCGACAGTGGCCAAGTGCGTGCCAGGTAACTTAAAATAACTTTAAGTAGTATGCTTTTTGTTCTTTTATATAAAAGGTGGGAGGGATAGTTTTGCTAAAATGCCTGGGATACTACATCTAAGGCATAGTAGTATTCTTATTCCACATTCTTGTTTTCTCATAATTACTTATTTGACCCAGAGAATGGACAAATACGTGCATAGATTATTTAGACCTATCAATCAGTTTGACAAGCCCCGACGACCCAATCGTTGGTGTTTGCGCGCTAGAATACATTAGACTTGTAGATGACGCAAGCAGAATCTGTCGCGTCATTATTGATTATTTATTTGGCTGAATTTATTTTCGTTTGTCTACATATATTAATTTTGCAAATCTACATCTCTTTTAACGCAGTAAATAACAAAATTGTATTAATTGGTACACACAAATGGATTTCTGATTATCATATTAGACAAAAAAGAAACAGAGCGACAACTGCTGAACTATTTATATTTCTCACTTAGTTTAGTGATTTGATTGATCTAGCGAAGTGTTCGATCAAAATAGGCATAATATTGAATTGAAAAGAGTAAAATGGAGCTTTGTTTTAAATTTCCTCTCAATTATCTGTCCTATAGGAACTATTTATAGTTCAATTTCGATGACCCAATCTGGTTTGAACTCACTTATTTTTTAATAAATCCGTCAAAAGGGAGGTGACTCATTATTTTCAATATGAAATTAATTTATAATTAGTCACTGTGTCCATAGGTTTTTTTGGCTTTGCCAAAACGTTTTCAATGAGAAGTTGACCACTACTTCGCACGTATGAGGTTACAGTGTGGCGAATACCTAAATTGAGTGCATCTTCATGGTTGCGTCTGTAATAATACGTCACCATCAAACTTACAAATTATATCCGTAATTCAGCATTTCCATGGCAGTTTAATTTCCTGTGGAGATTATTATGGAAATTACCAGACATCTTTTATGACAACCCCGCAATTCATTTTGGCAAGCGTTTTCCAAAACCCATCTTGAACACGGGGACGTCATCATAACATGAGAGCCACAGCTTATGGCTGTTATCCTCGAATAGATATTTGCATTCTTTCGCCAACTATGCACAAAAAGCTTAATGCCAGGATCAAGATGGCTGTTCCATTTATTAGATCCTGTCTTGTGATCAGAATTAAATCCCTAATCTATATTGCGTTTCTTCCAACGACCCATATATCAGCTAATACTTCCTCCTCCCTCCCTCCCCCCCCCATTATAGCACGACAGAGGGGTAGGGCCATGGATGTGAAATTTTAAGAGATTTGTTTGGGAGGTGGAGGAAATTTCTTACAGTCGGTCGGACATGATGACTGCTTCTCACCCGTCCACCCACTGGCGGCAAATTTGACAACCCTGCGCGTCATTGGGAGCACTCACGAACTAATCTCTTGTCAAATGCGTCAGTACTACGCAGTAGCCGTAGTTAAGGCGAGGGGTGGGGAAGGGTTTAGAGGTATTGGCTGGTAGAGATCTGTTTGTTATGACAGGGGAGACAGCAGAATGCCGCCGCGATACCGCCGCTACTACCATTATTCGTAGTAGTTGTTGAAGGCGTCCACCACCGCTCGCCTGCCTTGGTGTCAAATTGCCGCTACCGACGGCGACAATGACAGCAAGATGACAACGAGAGAGAGATAGGTAGGGAAGAGCTGACGACTGGCAGGCGGTCGTGATTGCCGCCGATTTTGCTTCTGCTACTGCGTTCCTATCATTGTTGCTTTTGCTGCGAAAATGCCAACACTGATTTTGCTAGTCCTCTGAGTTAGGTTATTTTTTCTGAGCTCTCGGCATATCAGTGGCATTAAAATGATATATGCTTTATCATTGAAAATGTTTTTTTCCTCTCGAAGCACCTTAGATAGGCAATGAGCATTTTAGCTCCCCTAATAAGACGTGAACATTTTAAAATCCGATTTTAACGTTACTACTTGAGAGCATCACGTTTAGTAATGGCATTCACGGGATTTCGTCGATGCTCGCAAACTTGACGAACGTGTATAATCGAAACTCCGCCTCATGAACTCGAAAATGTATTAGCTGTCCACAAACTACTTTATTGCAGTTCATTTTAATTCACTAGGTGCGTGTGTGTTCTGTGATTTTTTCCACGATTTACCATTTGTTTACAAACGCATTTCAAGAATAGTTGTGCTTCCATTAAATGGGTGCCGTTCTAATTATCTATTTTGTAAGATTTAGTTAGGTGGTAACTTCTCAATAATTGACAAAGAGACAAATATTATCTCCATTTACCAGTTTTTTTGTGAATTAGTTTTAAATTTCAACAGAAATTCTGAGGATGCATCCTATTTAAATTGTCTCCTGGAGCTCATCACTTTTGGAAGCTCTCCTTCTCTAATAATATGAACAAGGAATTCCTCCATGAATAATCCCTATTCCCCCTGAAAATTTATGAAACTTATTACAAAACAAAACAAAAACAGTTGATTTTCCAATTATAAATTAAGTGGAAAATTTCTACTTTTAATTCTCCTGATTTCATATTTTTTCTATCTCCTCCACTCTAAATCACTGCTGCTGCTCAGACAATCAGACAAAAGTTCCGCTTTTGAAATGTCATAAGTACACAAACTTGGAGTGGAGGTAGTAGTAGCTGCTGGGATGTTTTACTCTGACCTGCAAACAAGCGGGCGAGCAGCGGCCAGAGCGGGCGGGTTGGCGGGCGCGAGTGGAGCACAGTGACATGCACCGCCAACTTCACCGCACAAATACCAATCCGACGGTACCGCTGCATTGCCGACGTTATGCTGTCATCAAGAACATCATCAATGCCGATGTCGGCCATTTATATGTGTGGCGAACCCTCTTAGTTCTCTTCCTCCTGCTCCTTGTTTCTACCCCCTCCCCCCCCACTCCCATTTGGGCAATATCCGAATCAGTACAGTGGTACAATTTGAGATAAGGAAGTTATATGGAAAAGTTTAGCATATTGCAGAAACGAATTATGGTACCTGTATGTGCTGTCAGGTAGCTACCCAAGTTGGAACACGCTTAAGGCAGTTGAGAAGTGACCTTTTGATTTCATCAATGTTTGCTTGAAATTTCTGAAATCGTTTTGAAATTTATTATGGGACTTGGGGACAAGAATCTCGTAGTAGTGTCAATGGTGATTCTGGCTTCAAACAAGTGCATGCTTCTTTCATGATTCAGTTTTTTTGCGCTGGTAAAGTTAGTTTCTCATAACTCAGTGCCCCCTTAAAAGAGAGTAAACATCTCAAGATCTTTTTTATTAGCTCTGTGCATCTCTCTTCGAACGAAGTGAAGTTGCTTGACATCCCTCAATACTTGGAATTAAAGACTGGTGATGTATATTTTTGATCGTCTCTTTGTCTCGTTATTATGAATAGGGACTACTTTGAAATCATTCCACACGTTCGTCGGTCCAGTTGGCTGGTTGTTTATAAATGTGTTAATTGGTTGCCTGTTCTTAACCAAGTTCTATTAACTTTTTTTATTTCTTTCCATGCCTCCCTTATTTTTGGCTTTAATACCTAAAATCATGTGCCCCTTCTCATGTCTACTAACGTCTAACTCTGTCTTCCATCTGTGCTGACTTTATCGTATTGCCGACTCTTTCATCTTATGAAGTAAGTATTCCTATGTGAGCGCAAATTCCAATTTTCAAGTTTGTTTTATAACATCCCATTTTCGTCTTGTTGTTTTCTCTGCCATCTAAAGGCTATTTTTTGCATGAAAATAATTACTATATCTACTATTGAGCTCCGGGATAAGTAGGGTTATATGTCTAACACTACGCTGGCTTCTTTTCGTGCTTTTTATGGCAAACTATGCTTATTGAGTTTCGATTGGCACTTCTGTTCTCTCCACTTAGGGCATTTAAATCTCAGGGGTAACAACAAGTGAATAGCAGGCCCCAAAGTCACCAAAATTCTCACCTCGTATTTCGCAGTGCAAATGACGTTTTTTTATCTACCTCATTCCTTTCCTCACTGGTTAACATACACTGACCTTTGACTAACACTAATCTATCTGGTCAGCAATGGTTAGAGGAGGAGAGTGTGGTGTTTTCCTCCATGTTTGGCTTCCTTTTTTTCCCGTAACGAAATAGAAAGTGACATTTTACCATTCTGCGGTATTGTGGCACTTGGCATTAAACTTGCTCTCCAACCACTGTGTCTTTTTTTATTTCAGGTTTTTCTTTAAGACCACCTCCGATGAATTTGATTCTGGCGTAGTGCATCAGGAAATCTCCAACGATGACGCTGTTCTACCGCTGTGGGAAGGCAAAGTTGTCGCGAAGGTGGAGAGAGTAGAACAGTAGTGTGTGTGTGCGAGAGAGAGAGAGAGATTGATCTATCTACTAATTCAAACATGGAACTACAGGGTAATCAGCTCAGTCAAACTTCCTTCCCTCTATTCCTTTTATTATATGCTTCAGGATTTAATAAACAGAACAGACGACTTATCCAAGACTCATACGTACTCGTAATTGCTTGGGATATATATACACCCCTATTCATACCCCTCCCCCCCTCTCCTTCCTTGTCCCACCCCTCTCCCTCACACTTCCCAATTGACGACCCTATAAATTTTATGAAAATGAATTTTTTGTTGAACTAGTTTTATCAAGTGAGGAGGATGTTTTTCTAACTAATTCAGACGCTGTTAGTGTTTTTAGTAGTGAATTTTGTAAAATCACTTCTAATTACATCCACATAATGGGTATCTGAGTGCTAGGTGCTTACAGCGATCATTATTTCTACCCAAATGCCATTCCATAACTCTTTTTATAAAGTATTTCACCAGCCCTCACATTGAGATGCCAGCTACTGCTGAAACCGTCTTTCTTCTGTCTTGGAACTTTACGGAAATCAGTGAATTGTGTCACATTTTTTGTGAAAACGCAATGAGAAAGAAATGTAATAGGCCTCAAATTTAACTTGCTTCAGACTTTGCAATTTTTAGTTCTTTTTTTAACCCCCTATTTATCCTCGTTGACGTCAGTTCCAATTATGGTAGGCGTACAAGAAATGTTGACTGAAATAAATGGGATGTTTATTTAGTCTGACCCAAGCTATTAACTAGCAGTCCAAAACATGGATGTATAGTAAGCCGAGACTGCAGAACGCCTGAATGAAGTCTGCAAAGATGAGCTCGGTGTGGGGCCGAAAAAGTCCAACTATATTTCGATGGCTGTTGTCCAATTGTTAATAGATTCATTAACTTGGAATTGGAATTTAGACCAAAAGAGTTGTAATGTCGCATTAAACTATCACATTAAAAGGACCTCAAATTGATCTATTTCGCTTCTGTTGATCCAGATGCCCGCCATGACGATTGCTATTTATATTCCACGAGGTATCATAGAAGTTAAACAATTTGTTCATTTCAATTGAATTCACGAAACAATAATTAAATTATCAACTAAATTTCCCGAATTGTATTTAAGCACACTCCCATTGACACAATCACAAGAAATTCTTGCAATTGAGTGAGACTGGGTTTTGATTACAAATTTAAAGTACAATTAAATTAATTACAAGGACCTATAATTTTAACAAACCCGCAATTTAATTTTCTTGTCAGCTTCATTCATATGACAATTTATGACCCTGCAAAGGTTAGAGCTGCTCTGTTCTAACTACCTCATTAAAATTAACGGTGTGCACCGGATAAGGAGCCCCTTTCATCAGATCTTGTCACCTCTAACGAACTCCGTTTCACACACACACACACTTCGCATTATTCTCCTTTTTCCTTCTTTATTCCTACTCAAGTACTAAATATTAACTGGAATACAAGTGATCTATCTTCGTCCATCTCCTTTATGAGCAGTTGATCTTGTGAGAGTGACTCATTTTAACAACACAGACTTGCACACCCAAATATTGTGTGTCGATACGAAGTAGACTGGATTGGAATAATCGATCGTCATACAATTTGCCGTCGCTTTTATTACTGAATTAGGGGTACCAATAGGCAATAGGGCATTTCACTAACAAATATGTGTGCTCCGTTAGTGGTTAGACATTGTGAAAGAAATAGCACTATGTGTTTTTCCTACTGGACGAATTGCTGATGACTATTTATGAGCAATCGGTTGCATTTTACTTTTAAAGGTAAAAATATCCAATCCCAAAGCGGACAAGAATCACGTCAGACACTTTAAGCTACTTAACTTTTGTTGGACCTTGAAAGCTTCTTATGTTATCAGACCATTAATGGGATTTGTGGTCAAGTGCTTGCACTCCGTCAATGTTAAATTTTGTCAAAAATGTTTAACTCATGCTATAGGACTTTAAACGATTCGTCAAAAGCTGGACGACTTACAAGGGGATTTTTTGTTATCTACGAAGGAGCCGTCGTGGAACTTTGAAGCTCCTAGTCAAGTGCTGTCGCATCAGCTCTCAGTTTAGAGGAAGAGGAAGAATCACACCTATTTCTTTGCTGTCTTGATAACACTAGATTGCTAATTCTGCCACCACGTTAGTGGGTGAAAATAATGACTGTCTCCAAATCAATCTCCTTCTCCAACCTCTTAAGCCTAGCCAGGGTTGATCCTTTTCAAATTTCCTCTACGTAGTTGATAGGGTGTTCGTGAAATGAACCATTGTCAAATGCTTAAACTGGGCTAAATGGCAATAGTGAGAACTGATACAGAAATTAAAGGATAGAAGTCCAGATTTTTCTTTCAGAAGGGATATATTTAAAACAAGACAATGTCTGTCTGTACGTTGGCAGAACGATTCCCCCTCTCCCTCTCTCTCAAAATCAGTTTTGGGAGTTTCATTGCAGCCTTAACCACCTATCTTCACCTTTGAAGGGCCTTGGAGCATCCACTAAGAGAAAAAATGATATTGAAATGAGACTGAAGACGAATAGGGCTCAAGGAGTATTTTAGTTAAAAAAACGAATTTTTTTCAAAATTTGGACAGAAAACCATGATAACGGAAATTATAACGTATAGAAGCATATGCATTATTAAAATTATTATCGATTTAATGCTGCAAATGCCCTTATTCTTACTGCCAATGAATCGGGATTTTAAAGAAACGGCGCACGGGTTTGCAACTATCGGTAACCTACGTCATATCCTGGCAAAAACGAATATGTTCGTCAGTAAATAGAAAAATACACTAAGTCATTTTGAATGACTCATATTGACTAGATTCACAAAGGTAAGGGAAAATGTAGAACGTTGGAAGTACTGACACTGACAAAGTATTTTCGCATTATTAAGTCGTTGTGTTGAAGGTTCCATGCTTTTAAATCTTCATCTAACTTCTGACTCCAATTCTCAAACCGCAATAGTTTTTTTTTCAAATGCTGCAAATTGAAAGCATTCTTCCGGTATATCTAAGTTAACCAACACAACTGATTGACTCTCAGTAATTCTCTTAACTCTATCTCCCAATCTCCTAAATTTCACATCTAAAAATGCGTAATTAAAAGCTCTGCGGTCCATCGTTGCCGGTACGGTATTATTTCCAAATGCCGCTTTCCGATAGCGGTCTTCTCTTCTCTAACCAGTGGTGGTCGTTAATTTACTTACACAGAAATTTCTAAAAGGAGACAAGAAGCAAGATATAAGACACAAAAGAAGAGAGCAACTTAAAAGGAGGTGGGGGGT